GATGCAGGACTCTACACTTGTCCTTATTGGACTTCATCGGGTTTCGCTTTGCCCAGCTCTCCAGCCTGGCCAGATCTGGGTTGCACCACGGCCTGCCTGGGTGTCAGCCCCCCCCCCGAGTTTTGTATCATCAGCGAACTTGCTGAGGGTGCTCTCTGTCCCCTCATCCAGATCGTTGATGAAGATATTGAACAAAACTCTCCCCAGCAGAGATCCCTGGGGAACCCCACTGGCCACTGTCCTCCAGCTTGACTCTGTGCCACAGCCCTCTGAGGGGAGGAAAGCTCGTCTGGCCTCTGGCTTATGGATGGACCAGCATTTGCAGCGATCCTGCAGGATCTCCTCTAGAGCTGTGGGAGTGTGTCTGCCGACCTTTGACATGCATATAAGATAAAAACCACACTCACTGTTTTTAATGATATTACCCAGAGTCTTATTGCTATAAAGACCCATCTAAGAGGAAGCCACAGAGAGTTTGTATCCCCACTAGCAAGCTGAGACAGTGTTGGAGCCTGTTCTCTGACCTGGAGGCTGACTGAGAACGTTTGGCCACATCCAAGCCATTAAACTCTCAAGCATCCCAGGGGACTAGAACACCTCTCTTGTGGAGAAAGACTGAGGGACTTGGGGCTTTTTAGTCTGGAGAAGAGAAGACTCAGGGGAAATCTCATCAATGCTCACAAATACTGTAAGCACTGGTTGGTCTGTCACCTCTCAGTGACAAGAAGTAATGGCCACAAACTTGAATGTAGGAAGTTCTATCTAAACATGGGGAGGAAATTCTTTACTTTGAGGGTGGCAGCTTATTTTTTTAGTTTTTTTTTAAAGTTTAAGACAAAGTGTAATAGCGCTAGCGAGGAAGTTTCCAAGGAAGTTCTGTTTTGTTCAGCTTTTTACCAGTTCAAATCTATTTGGGTGAGGTGACCTGCTGTCCTTATTGGACACACAACCTGGGCTGGCTCTCATTACCCACTGATGGAGAATAAAGCTCAGCATAATAAAACTCCACAGGTTTTGGAAGGGGAGGACGTGATTTTAAATATTTTTTCAACATGAGAGCGATTGAGTTGCCAAATCATGTTCTTGGGCATGCAGAACAAGGATTTCACACTTTCTCTGCTGCTCAGTGCCTTTCCAGTCGTGCACAATGTGTCCTGCAGAGCCAGAGCTGGGAAAGGACTCAGGAGAACAGAGCACCAGGAACCAGCTCGTGTCTTTTCCCTTGGTTATGGTGTGCTCTCACAGTTTACAAACTTGTGCGCCAAGCGTTTTGTCCTGAAATTCCCAGATGATACCGGTCCAAGGCCACGGAGCCTTCCCAAAGATATTGCTGCGTCTGATCTGCCGCACCAAACCATTTAGACCGAGAGCAGGCTGAGCCTGTGCTTTAAGCTTAGACCTTGAAACAACTCTGGTTGTGGGAGTTATCCTAGATCTCCAGCCAGGATGGGATAAGTGCCTGGTAAACAGTCTTTTTTCCTGAGTTCTAAGTAAATCTTCAGCTCTGCTATTTTTTTCCTGACAGCTTTTTTTTTTTTGGTCCCCTCTGATGTTGCAGATCTCCATGGAGTTCAGGAACCTGTCCAAGGTCTACCGGGATGTGATTTCAGATATCTGCCACAAGATGGGCGTTGGCATGGCGGAATTCTTGGAGAAGAAGGTGGACTCTCAGCATGAGTGGGATAAGGTAAAGTCAGCCTTGAAGGAAGAGTAGACTGAACGTGATTAGGGTCCACCTGGTCTCTGTGGAAAGAGGAGATGGAGCATCCCTCTGGGATTCAGCTGGATGAGGGAGGTCGTGTGGGGGGAAAATTGGAAGAAAACGTACCGGCGATTTCTTCTGAGCATCTTTTTGTGTAAAACTCACTGTGGCAAATAGGCAGCTGTTTGTAACTACTCCTTTTATCTCGTGTTGTTATTTTTTTCCGCCCTTTCCTCTCTCGCAGTATTGTCACTACGTTGCCGGGCTGGTGGGGATTGGCCTTTCCCGTCTTTTCTCTGCATCAGAGCTAGAAGATCCTATCGTCGGGCAGGACACGAAGCTGGCCAACTCCATGGGCCTCTTCTTGCAGAAAACCAACATCATCCGGGACTATCTGGAGGACCAGCTGGAGGGAAGAGAGTTCTGGCCCAGAGAGGTGAGGGAAAACGCTGCCTTGGGGTGAGCGTTTCTGCTGCACCTCTTCGGGAGATGCACCAAGACTGAAGGTGCTGCTGTTGCTGCTCTGATACAGTTGAGTTGCATCCTCTTATTTAAAAGGGTTCCTGCTGGATTTTCCTTTGCAAATCCCCAAAGTCGGGGTTTTTCCCACCGTTTCTTGGTCTCCCTTGACGGTCTTTCAAAATTCCATCCAAAAACTGTAATGAATGGAGCCGACTGTCCGTGCTTTCCAGGAATGAGAATGCATTACAGGGAGGATAGCAGGTGTGCAGCTAAAATTGTCTCTCATGTCCCTTTAAATCAAAATTAGCAGGAGAGACTTGATGATTTGCTTGAATTGTATTAAGACCCTACAATAAAACTGTGCTGCCTATGATTGCTACTGTTGATTGACAAGTTGATAACAGTTCTTTTAATGACAGCCGTCTGGGTACCACTGTGGGGATGAGGTGATGTCTCCCCACAGTGCCAACACCTTTTTGGGCAGCTTTTTCCCCTTTCTGTTATGTTGGTTCTAGGAATAATGGAGGCTAAAACCAGGTGAGATCTTGAGAGGTCACCTAGTCTGTTCCCAAAAACAGGATCAGCTCTGCTTGTGCCTCACAGATGCTCGGCTGCTCTTCCTGAGACTCTCCAAGATTTTTTTTTCTCCTTTTTCCATGCAGCTTACCTGTCTTATAGAACATTTTTTGATGTGTGCTGCATCTTTTCCTTGCATTCTTCTTTACAATCCCTTTGTGTACACGAAGGCCAGTATCATGTCTCCGCAGCTTGCCCTTCCTTCTTTTTTTAGCCTAGTAAGCCCCAATCCTTCAAGGCTTTTGTGGTTTTCTGCTGGTTCTTGTTGTTCTCCCAGACCTTGGACAACGGTGATATCTCTTTTATGACATGAATGTACCCTCCAGCTTGTGAGTCCTTATCTTGATGTTTAGGTTTGGAGCAGGTATGCAAAGAAGCTCTCGGATCTTGCCAAACCAGAGAACATCGATATGGCTGTCCAGTGTCTGAACGAGCTCATCACCAACGCCCTCCACCATGTCCCTGATGTCCTCACATACTTATCCCGCCTGAAAAACCAAAGTGTCTTCAACTTCTGTGCTATCCCCCAGGTGAGTTGTGTTTTCAAGCACTTCTTCATCACCCAGCCCAGCCAATGAGAAGTTGGAGGTGTGAAGGAGGTTAGGTATCATGTCGGTATTTGGCTGCTTTATTTTCCATCTCTTCTGTCTGCTCCTTCTGTCCTGGTGTCTGACGTTTCTGCTGTCAGTGAGATTGTGGCTTCACTCCAGAGTATTTTGCCATCGATTTTCACTGGGGCCAAGGTTACTCCCTTGGCAAGCTCGCTGCAGGGCGGTAACACCTTTTGGTGTTTCTCCTTAGGTGATGGCTATTGCCACATTGGCTGCCTGCTATAACAACAAGCAGGTGTTCAGGGGTGTCGTGAAGATCCGGAAGGGACAAGCCGTCACTCTAATGATGGATGCTACAAGCATACAAGCTGTCAAAGCCATCATGTACCAGTACGTGGAAGAGGTAGGTTGAAAAATTGGCTCTGAGTAATTTCTGTCTGTTCCTGTCCTCATTCCTAGCATGGAAATCACAGA